GACTTGGATGCCTGTTTCCTTCCCTGGGTTAGGGAAGTTCTCCACTATAATTTGCTCCAATATACCTTCTGCCCCCCTCTGTCTTTCCTCTTCTGCGATCCCAATTATTCTAATATTGTTTTGCTTTATGGTATCACTTAACCTCTTGAATTCTCTCCTCGTGATCCAGTAGTTGTTTTTTTCTCTTTTTCTCAGCTTCTTTATTCTCCATCATTTTGTCTTCTATATCACTGATTCTCTCTTCTGCTTCATTTATTTTTAATTGTATCTCATTAATAGCCCTTTTGATTTTGACTTGATTAGATTTTAGTTCTTTTATTTCTCCAGAAATGGATTCTTTAGTGTCTTCTATGCTTTTTTTAAGCCCCGCTAGTATCTTTATAATCGTTATTCTAAACTCTAGTTCCAACATCTTACTTATGTCCATACTGATAAGGTCCCTGGCAGTCAGTACTGCCTCCTGTTCTCTTTTTTGAGGTGAGTTTTTCCATCTTGTCATTCTCCAGAGAAGAATAGATGAACAAGAGAACAAAATACTAAAATGGCAACAACGACCCCAGAGAAATATACACTAAACAAATCAGAAGAGACTTGAAGCCAGAAAAAAAAAAAGAAAGAATATAATCAGACAGATGAGCAGACCAGAGCAATACACTGGATCATGTGTATATTTTGGTCTTTCGTTAGAAAAGTAGATCCCAAAATTGTAAAGAAAGAAAAACTTGTATGAAAATAAAATTAAATACAACAATAGAATGTAAGTGTAAAAATGAAATTTAAAAGACAAATAAAAGACACACACAAAAAAGAAGGAATATAAACATACAGGTGAACAGAACAGAGCAATACGCTATATCCTGAGTGTATTTTGGTGTCAAAATTGTAAAGAAAGAAAAGCATATATATACAGAAATAAAATTAAATACGATGAAAGGATAGAGTGTAACTGTAAAAATGAAAATTAAAAAAGGTTTAAAAGAAAGAGTTGATAAAATAAGAAATTGGTTGAAAAAGGAAAGAGAAAAAATTAAGATTGAAAGACTAAAGAATCGTGGGGAAAAAATCATGAATTCCATATACTATTTTCCCCTAGTGCTGGAATTTTGCAATTCTGTATGATTGGTAAACTTGGTCTTGGCTGGTTGTTCTTGCGGATCTTCTGGGGGAGGGGCCTGTTGCATTGATTCTCAAGTGTCTTTGCCCCAGCGGAATTTCACCACCCTTGCCAGGGGGCCAGGCTAAGTAAGCAGCTCCAGATTGCTCTATGTGGCTTTTTTGTTTTCTGAAGGCTTTTCCTGCCACTTTAGAGGATGAGAATGAAAATGGCAGCCTCCCAGTCTCCTGCCCTGGAGCTGAAAGCTCGGGGCCCCATTCCTCAGCACCCTCAGGGAAAAGCAGTCAATCACTCCTGTCTCCCTGGTCTCCGTCCTGTGACCGAACGTTTCTACCTCAGGCATGCAACTCCATTTCAAGTCTCCAAACCCTGTAGACTCCTGTGGTGTGCACCTGTGCCACTCCTCCTGGGGGAGGGAGGGAGGGCTCGCCGGTTCTGCTGCTCTCTGGGCCCCTGCTCCGAAGAGCAGTCGCCCAGCAGTGCCACGGTTGGAAGCATAGGGCAACCCCGAGCTGAGAGCCCACTCCTGGGCTTGCTGATTGCAGCTGGCTTCCCTGCTTTGATGCTGGGGAACTTTGCCACACTTAGGCACCCCTGGTCTTCCTGTGATCCCAGGGATCCTGAGACCACACGGTCCCACCTAGGATTCCACCCTGCTTCGCCACCTGAGCCCCTTTCAGGCCGGGACATCCCTCACTGGAGCAGACTTCTAAAAGTTGTGATTGCGTGCTCTGCCGCTCTCTCACTCTCCAGTGCCACCTGACGGAGGTGCCCTCTCCCTCCTCCTGCGGTGTATCTTCCCATGTATCACCTTGGATTCACTTCTCTGCACCTCCTGCTTTGCAGAGAGTGGTCAGTTTTCTATCGGTAGAGCTGCAGCTATTCTTTTAGTTTTCCGGTTGAGTTCACAGGTGTTTCAGAATGACTTGATAGCTCTCTAGCTGAATTCCTGGGATGAGATGAAACTCCGTCATCTTAGATGCTCTCCTCTTGACTATTTTAAAAGTAATCCTGATATTATGCTACTTAAAACTAAATATTTCTTATGTATCTGTTTTTAAAAGGACATTTTCTCACCATATTATTATTTTTCCTGGCAAATTTAAAAATTCTTTATATCATTTAATACCGAGTTCACATTCAAATTTTACAGTGGTTGCAAAATTGTCTTTTATACTTCATTTGTTCATATGGGGATTCAGACAAGGCCCATGTTAGCTTTTCGTTGTTTCTCTATCTCATTTTATCTGAAACCCCCGTCTTTCTCCTTTTTTGAATGTTACTGACTTTTGGAGAATGTAGGTTATTTGCAGTATAAAATGTGTCATATTTTGAATTTCCGTGTCACTTCATCTTGCTGTCATTTAACTCTTCCCCTAGGCTTTGTATTTTTTTTAAACTCAAAGTTAGATATAAAGTCTAATTAGATTCAGGCATAGCTTTTAAATTTTTTTTTAAGCAAGGATATCTTGTAGATGATGTGATGTGATGGTTGATGTGTTTTTCTCTCTCTCATCACATCACATCAGGAGGCATGTAATATCTGGGTGTCCACTTTAAGTGTTGCTAAAATTAATCAGGATGTTCAGGTGGTGACAGCCTCATTATTCTTCTGTAAAGTTCCCCATTAACCTTTGTCCTTAATCCAGAGTTTAAGAAAAGGCAGTTTCCTTAGGAGATCGCTTAAGAGTAGCCTATTCTGGAATGGGCTATGGATGTGTTTGAATTTCTATATATTTTACAGTGTACAAATTTACCACTAAATCTGTTACTGAATTTGTAAAATAGAGACAGTAATAATGCAGAAGGTAGTTGTGAAGATTAAATGAGATAATATAAAAGTCTTTACACTGAGTAGATGGTTAAAATTCTGTGCTAGAATTTTAAATGCCAGATTTTTCACCATTTATTGTGTAGAAAAACCTTGTATATTCACTGCCTTTAATGTTGAACTCTCTTAAATATTGTAGTGGATGGGTGGTACTTAAAATTGTGATTTGCTTTGGAGTTGATAAGCTATGTCTATGCATGATTTTGCACAGAGTACTTCTGATACAGTATGTACAAAATATGATAGGTACGCCAGTTTTCTATTTTTGTATTTCTTAAATATGTACAGTAATACTAAGACTAAGATACTGGTCTCAAAGTTTTGGTCTTATTGTTAACTTGTCTAGGGTAGTGTATACTGTTTTTTTTAGGGTATCCTATATATTTTCTTTAGGTTTTTCTGTGAGTACCCATAAAGGTATTTTTTTTCTCTGCCTCCTTCAATTTTTTTTTCCTACCAAAAATATGTTTGGGCCCCTGGTAGATGCAAGGTATATAATTAGCACAAGTATCTAGTCACTTCAAGAGCCAGCCTACTATGGGGCGCCTGGGTGGCTCAGTCGTTGAGCGTCTGCCTTCGGCTTGGGTCATGATCCCAGGGTTCTGGGATCGAGCCCCACATTGGCCTCCCTGCTCTGCGGGAGGCCTGCTTCTCCCTCTCCCACTCCCCCTGCTTGTACTCCCTCTCTCTCTGTCAAATAAATAAAATCTTTAAAAAAAAAAAAAAAAAGAACCAGCCTACTAGAGAAGATGTGTGTAAGTTATTATAAGGTACCAACAGATTACTGAATTCTGTCTTTTTACTTTAGTTTAGTACTTCCTTTTGTTTAGTGGCTGTAGGACCAAAAGACAGAATTACTGTTGTCTTATTGTGAGAGTTGTATTGAAATTACTATTGTTTTATTGTGAGAGTATAATTAAAATGAGAGTTTTATATAACATAAAACAAAAAGTACATTCACATACATCATCTTATTTAATGTTTATCATAATCCTGTGAATTAAGCAGTGCAATTATTTGTATGTATTCAAATTTCGAATATAGGCAGGCAATTTTCGTATTATCGTTGTATTCTTTTTATTATTAGCTAGACCTGTCTGTATTAGTTATTGCCATGAAATTGAACATATCAAAGTGGAAAGAAAGCTTCCCTGGGATCCAAAAGAAGAGTGTATATGTTAACCTGATTGCTCAGCCAAATAGGAGAAAGAAGTCTGTTTTTAATAGAAAATAATTCATGAAGATTCATATATAGAAAAATTAGGTCAACCACGAATGTTAAAAACATTTTTTGGGCAGTCATACATTTGGTAAGTTGAGCCAGATGATACTCAGTTCCTTTTTAAACAGGAGGCAGGGGTGTGCTTTGATTTCTGTCCAGGGCCTCTGGTCCTATTTTGGATTAAAAATAAAGCGGGAATGCCATTTAGTATATTCAGATGTCTTCCTTTGCAGGTATCTTTTTCTAGTGTCACAATGGGCATCTTCTGATATTCTTAAGTTATATATGATCGTTTTTTTTTAATACTAGTGCAGAGAGTGTTTGCAGAATGCCAGGAACTTTGTATGCTAAGGGTTTTTTTGTTTTGTTTTGTTTTGTTTTAAGATTTTAGTTTTAAGTACTCTCTTCACCCAGCGTGGGGTTCAAACCCACAACCCGAGATCACCCCTGTATGCTAAACTTTTTATGTGCAGTATCTCATTTAATCCCTACACCAGCCTTATGAGTAGTATTACTATTCACACTTTACAGATGAGGAAACACTAAACTTAGTTAAATAATTTGCTTAAGGTAAGAGCTAGAGTTTGATTCAAACTAATCCCTGAATAAAAACAGAGTCTGTGTTTTAAACCCAACTCCTGTGCACTATACTGTTTATGTTACTGTATCTGTCATGTTGTATAGTCTGGGATACAGGGGTAGTGTAGTAGTGTGGGTAACCCTATTTGCTAGTTTTCTGTATTACCACTTGCTATTTTGAGTTAGGAAGTTATATTTCCTCAGAAAATGTCAGTAGTTCTTGGAAATGAGACTTTTTCCTTCCTTTGCAACAGAATCGAATCCTCTGGGTTGATGAGAACAATCTGACCGCTCATGTGGAGGCTGGTATCACAGGACAGGAGTTGGTTTTTTTGGTATGTTATTTCCTTTAATTAAGATTTTCAAAATTGCTATGTGTCCTCTTTATTTTTTTAAGATTTATTTAGTTAGGGAGCAAGTGGGGGGGGGGAGCAGAGAGAGAGAGAGGGAGAGAGAGAATCTCAAGCAGAGACCCTGCTGAGCATGGAGCTGGACTCAGGGCTTGATCTCATAGCCCGGAGATCATGACCTGAGCCAAAACCAAGAGTCGGGTGCTTAGCCAGCTGAGCCACCCAGGCACCCCCCTGTGTGTCCTCTTTATGAATGGAGTACCTGTCACAGCACATTCTCTGAACAGATTTGCTCAGTTTCCATTGTGGGTCAGGCATTGAGCTAGATACTGAGGACACAGTAGTGAATAAGACACCATTCCCTACCCTTGGAAAGCTTATAATAGAAAGTTAGGTAAATAGACAGTTATGATTCAGAGTGAGAATTGCAAGGTGAAGGCTGAATACAGGGTGTCATGGCTCATCAGATAGGGTTAGCAGGGAAGGAATTGGACAAAGAAGGTATTGCAGAGAACACAACATTTATTTATTTATTTTATTTTCTAGGGAATTTATTTTTTGTTTTATTAACATATAATGTATTATTTGTTTCAGGGGTACAGGTCTGTGATTCATCAGTCTTACACAGTTCACAGCGCTCATCATAGCACATACCCTCCACAATGTCCATCAGCCAGCCACCCCATCCCTCCCACTCCCCTCCACTCCAGCAACCCTCAGTTTGTTTCCTGAGATCAAGAGACTCTTATGGTTTGTCTCCCTCTCTGGTTTCGTCTTGTTTCATTTTTTCCCTCCCTTCCCCTATGATCCTCTGTCTTGTTTCTCAAATTCCTCATATCAGTGAGATCATATGATACTTGTCTTTCTCTGATTGACTTATTTCACTTAGCCTAATTCCCTCTAGTTCCAACCACGTTGTTGCAAAGGGCAAGATTTCATTTTTTATGGCTGCATAATATTCCATTGTGTATATATATACACCACATCTTTATCCATTCATCTGTTGATGGACATCTTGGCTTTTTCCCTAGTTTGGCTATTGTGGACATTGCTGCTATAAACATTGGGGTGCATGTACCCTTCGGATCACTGCGTTTGTATCTTTGGGGTAAATACCCAGTAGTGCAATTGCTGGATCATAGGGTAGCTCTATTTTCAACTTTTTGAGGAACCTCCATACTGTTTTCCAGAGTGGCTATACCAGCTTGCATTCCCACCAACAGTGTAGGAGGGTTCCCCTTTCTCCACATCCTTGCCAATATCTGTTGTTTCCTGACTTGTTAATTTTAGCCATTCTGACTGGTGTGAGGAGGTATCTCATTGAGGTTTTGACTTGTATTTCCCTGATGCTGAGTGATGTTGAGCACTTTTTCATGGAGAACACAGCATTTAAAATGAGACTTCAGGATGAGTGAAAGTCAGCAAAATGGGAGTGGAGAGAACAATCCAGTCAGAGGAAGCAGCAATTGCAGAGGCTTTTAGGGCAGCTCTTGCTTTTGGGTGGCCTGCAGACAGCTTTTTTTTTCTTTTTTTTAGTGTGTGTTTATGGGAGAATACACAGTCTTGGTGTTTTGGGTTTTTTTTTGTTTTTTTAAAGATTTTATTTATTTATTCGAGAGAGAGAGAATGAGAGACAGAGAGCACGAGAGGGAAGAGGGTCAGAGGGAGAAGAGACTCCCCGCTGAGCAGGGAGCCCGATGTGGGACTTGATCCCTGGACTCCAGGATCATGACCTGAGCCGAAGGCAGTTACTTAACCAACTGAGCCACCCAGGCGCCCCAGTCTTGGTGTTTATATGTTGGGTGGGAATACATATAGTGGTGGTAAAGGATGAAGCCGGGAAACACAAAGAGACCAGATTTTAAAGGGGCCTTATAAAGCCCCTTTTAGAAGTTTGAACTTTACGTCTGTATTCAGGTAGTTCTGGCTAGCTCCTGTTGGAGGATGGATGGGGGGGGCACGTAAGGGTGGTTAAGAGGCTACCGGCATAATTCAGACAAGAGCTGATAAGTGACCTATAATGAAGGAGTAAGAATAGAGCAAAGTGGAACATACTGGACATTGAATTCTCAGAAGTTGATGATAAATTGGATCAACTGGGTACATGTTGGTATTTGCTATTAATTGAACTTTTCAATGCCTAATTTCTTTTTCTTTAAGATTTTATTTATTTATTTTAGAGAGACCAGGGTGGGGGGGCATGGGAGAGCAGAGGGGAGAGGGAAGGGGAATGAATCTCAAGCACACTGCGCTGAGCATGGAGCCCAATGCAGGGCTTGATCTCATGACCCTGAGATCATGACCTGATCCGAAATCAAGAGTCAGACGCTTAACTGAGCCACCCAGGTGCCCCAATGCCTAATTTCATTGAAAACTGTTCATCTCATGAATTAGTCAAACTCTTGGAGACCTTGTAGCACTTTTTTAGGATGCTGAAGAATTCTTGGAAAACTTTAGGTTCCTTTCATGCATTCTAAGGAGATAATTATTAAAATGTATTTCCAACTTCCACAGACATGGTCAAGATGACTATAACTCAGCTTTTGTAAACAAAATTAGGAAGTTTAATTTGTTGGTGATATATTGACCACTTTTTTCAACCTGAGTTACAGAGACTCCTCCCTCCTACCTTTGGATGGGACAGAGAGAGATGAGACATGCTTGTCCATCTTACTTTTATTGTCTTTTTCCTTATAAAAAAATAAAGTTGAATGAAATTGGTATGCCACTGACCAACTCTGGATGAAAAGCTTTGAAAAAAATTATTAAACTATTGTTTTTATTTTTGATTTAATGCACTAAGATAGAACTGGAATGAAATTGAACATACTAGTTGAGGCAGTGTTAAAGATCTTCAGTAAGCCAAGGTTTTATATAAGTCCAAGTAATTGGATTTGTTAATTATTATAGTTTATAATGAACTTAAGTGGGCAGAATAATAGTATTTAATGAAAAAACCTGTAAAAATCCCGTATTAGTTTTCCATTATATCTAAATGAGGCACTATCAACACAGCAATTTTTTAATAACAAAGGCTGGCCTTTCATGTCTTTTTTTTTTTTTTTTTTATTACAGCATTTGATGGAGTATTTTAACCTTTCCAAGTTTTCTTTTTTTTTTTTTTTTGAAAGGTTAGGATTAAAATTCAAGGAACATATTTCCTTGAAATTTAAATGACATTTTCCTAGACTACGAACTTCTGATATTTTACCTACTAGTTCATTTCCCTAAATGCCAATATAGAACTTTCTTTTTTGCCTCCAGTAAACTGTAATGTAGTTTCTATAGCTGTTTTGATCCCACTTCAAGTTCTTCCTCATTAAACTTCTGTACTCTTCAGTTTCTTAATCAGCTGAGGTAACCAGCTTAAAACATCCTACTTTTTCCTTCTAGAAATTCTAAAACGACACAAAGATAGTAGTTGGGTAGCACATTTTAATCTCTTTAGTTTGTAAATTATATTGATTTTATTATGTGTACAGTTTAAGGGAGGTCACTAACATGTCAATTATGGATTTGTTGTATAGTAACTTCATTGAGCTCTAAGTGTCATACAGTCAATTGCACTTATTTAAAAGGTACAATTTGATATGTTTTGATACGTGACTACAGTTGTGAAACCATCACCACAATTACAATAATATTGAACACTTGTACCAAACCCAAAGATTTCTTCTTGCTTCTTTATGATTTTCTCTACCCTACCCTTACCCTCCACCCCTGACAGTCATTGATCTGTTTTTTGTTTTGTTTTGTTTTTTTAACAGAAGTATATTGTCTCACAGTTCTGGAGGCTGATCTGCTTTTTTTCACTGTAGATTTGTTTATTTGTCCTACAATTTTACTAAAATCTAATCATGTACTTTTTTTGAGGTTGGGGATTGAGGGTATGGCTTCTTTCACTAGGTGTAATTAGTTTGAGATTCATGCATATTGTTGCATGTATCAATTAGTTTATTCCTTTTTATTGCTCAGCAGTATTATATTATATAGATATACCACTGTTTGTTTATCCATTCACTTGTTGAACACTTAGATTATTTCCAATTTGGGGCTATTACAAGTAAAGCTGCTATGAACATTCATATGCAAATCCTTGTATGGACATATACTTTCATTTCTCTTGGGTAAATATCTAGAAATGAAGTGGTAGGTATATATTCACCTTTTTGAAAAACTACCAAACATTTTCCCAGAGGGCATCATTTTATATTTCCACTAGCACTGTGTAAGAGTTCCAATTTCTCTACATCCTCTCCATACTTGTTGTTAGTCTTTTAAGTTTTAGTCATTCTAGTAGATGTGTTACAGTATGTCATTGTGGTTTTAATTTGTATTTCTCTAGTGACTAGTGATGTTGAACATCTTTTCAAGTGCTCTTTGTTATCCATGTATCTTCTTTGGTGAAGTGTCTGTTCAAGTTGTTTTTCTAATTTTGGGTTGTTTTCTTATTGAGTTTTGAGAATTCTTTACATATTCTGGATATAAGTCCTTTTGCAGATCTATGCTTTGCAAATATTTTCTCCCAGTCTGTGGCTTGTCTTTTCAATCTCTTAACAGAGTCTTTTGATGAATAGATGTGTTTAATTTTGGTGAATTCCACAATGTATTTAATTTTTACTTTATATTTCATAGTTCTGCTGTCATATACAGAAATCTTTGCTTTACCTGAGGTTACAAAGATTTTCTCCCATTTAAGTTTCATAGTTTTTGGTTTACATTCAAGTCTCTAATGAGTTTTGAAGATTTTTGAGTTAATGTTTATGTATGGTGCAAAGGATGGATTGAAGTTCATTTTTTTCATGTGGTTATCCAGTTATTTCAGCACCATTTGTTTGAAAAGACTACCCTTCAGGGGCGCCTGGGTGGCTCAGTCATTAAGCGTCTGCCTTCGGCTCAGGTCATGATCCTAGGGTCCTGGGATTGAGTGCCGCATCGGGCTCCCTGCTCTGTGGGAAGCTTGCTTCTCCCTCTCCCAAAAAAAA